CTCAATAGCCAGTAAGTACGATATATAGTTTGGAGAACAGAAGAAATATATTTATTTCACATATAACGTTGGCCGATTGCGATAATATTCATCGTCGTCCTATCAAACATCAAATCAGGCTTCGCGACATACTTCCGCTCGGAACTTATAAAAATAGATTAGTGAAACATGCATGTGAAAATTCGTACAAAAGAAGGAATTTTTGGTATCCAGCCCATTTTAAGCCAAAATGTGTTACATGCTCCATCCAAAATTAATTGAATGCGTCTGATAAAATAGATGGCTGTCAGCGAGTTTCCAGAAAATCGTTTACAACGACGGGAGCACGATTTTACTACATAACCGATGCGGGGACGATACAATGACGCCGATCGCGACGACGTCGATTGATCACACTACGAAATTCAAGCATATTTCGATAATAGTTCCACCGTAGCCACTTATGAAGCAGTGACACCTGTAAATGTGGTCTGTCGTACATCGTCCGCCGACGTGTAAATACACCCCTGTTACGGTAACCGAATCTCATCGTTTGCTCATTCGCAAAGTACGTTGTTAAGCCAATTATACTTCGAACGATATCGGAAGATGATTTAACAAAACGAAAACGAGATCGAATTCGTAAACGAATGATTCTCGAATCAGTACTAGCTGCTAGTTAAAATTATTATTTTCTAACTCGGCACTGATAAATACTTGCAAGTTATACATATATAATAGTTAACGAGATAAAAGTCGGAAATTTATCGCAGTGAGCGAACGGTTCCTTGTTTGTATTTATCCGTTTATATATAAAGACGGAACGCGGCAATCGATTACGTACCGACGGTCAGAGGTGTTAAAAGACGTTCCCGGCATTAGTACTGTCTTATTAAATAGTGATTATAAACAAGGAAACGGAGGTGGATGCTGCAAACTAAACGCAGCCAGTGAATCTAAAATGATGAGAACTTTCGTAACGTTTCTCCTCGTCCTGGGGATCTGCCGGGCGAGTTTCCCGTTCGAAAATATCAACGACGACGAAGTGAAATTGAAAAATATCCTGCCATCCGGCATAGTGAAACCGATCGCATACAAGTTGCACCTCAAGCCTGATTTGGTGAAATTTACATTTGACGGTGAAACGGAGATCACATTAATAGCGTTGATCACGGACGTTGCCTTGACGCTGAACTCAAAATTCTTAACAGTCCACGATTTAAAGTTTGTGGATTTGAATACAACGAAGACTTTGGAGAGTAAGTATATAGAGGACGAAGAGCACGAGACCCTGAACGTCACAATAACACCCCACTTTGAAAAGGATCATCACTACTCACTCCAGATAAAATACGAAGCAATTTTGCGCAACGATGGCAAAGGATTTTATACGAGCATGATGCGAACGAACGGAAGCACGTAAGGCTGCTTTACTATTATTATCAATATTATCATTATTATTGTTACTGTTATTATTAATGATAATGAGCATAAGCTCTTTGGAATATACAAGGTGCTTGCGAAATCGTGGTACAACCGGCAAGGTGACGATTCCTCACATAAAATCTAGTCGAAAACAATGAATATAGT